TGCTGACCTCGTCAGCCTATGTAAAAGGCTTGGTTTGTCTGAAGCCGAAACCTCGGTAATATCAAATGTTAGGTTTTTAAAAACAGAAAGTATATGGCATTTGTAGGACACTGACTGCCCCGTGTGCTCTAACAGCTTGTTAATGAAGCGTATTGATAAGAGAGAAATTAGAGAATAGTCATGAAACTGGGATGTCTTATTCACCTTATTCATAGAATCATAGAGTCATAGAATGTTTTGGGTTGGAAGGGACCACTAGAGCTCATCTAGTCCAACCCCCTGCAGGGACTCGATGATCTTAAAGGTCTTTTCCAACCAAAGCGATTCTATGATTCTAGGGAGCAGGGACACCATTAACTAGATAAGGTTGCTCAGAGCTCCGTTGCTTATGTGTGGTGAGATTGGATGGCACACCTGCGGAGACTTTTCAGTCCACTCTTTTCACAGATGTACATTGCTATAAGGAAAGCAGTTATGACAGATGGATGTCTCAGACACTTCAGGAAGGTGCTTAGAAGGAGGTCCACAATGTAGGAGGTAATCAGATCCCAGGAAGAGTGTCTCTCTGATATGGAGGTAATCTATTTACTGAAACTGGAAGGTCTGAAGAAAAGTTGGTTTTGACTTCATTAAACTGTAATGAGAAGATGTATATAGCTGCCGTGCAGATCCTTAAGAAAGCTATTAGTAAACTCTTGATTTAATACGCAGAAGCTATCTAAGATTACATTATCCTTACGTAAGACAGAGCAGGCCCCTCACAAGCAGTTAAAAAAGTTAAAAATTTTTTTGAAATGTTGTAGTTCTTCATGAAGAGCAGTGTGGGTGGCACAGAGTATCTGAGAGCAGATGTGATTTATATTTAGCCAGTAGCTTATCTCTGTTCCATACTGTGGATTGTCTTCACATTAGGATACAGTATTATATATTTCTATATCGAGTAATATATGTGATGCCTTTCTGGACAGGTGCAAAAGGTGGGGAGTCCATACCAGCAAGCTGTTATTTGGGCTAGTAATGTGTTTGAATATGACTTTGATTTAATCTTCCATATAAATTAGTATTAGAAGAATGAGAAAAGAGTCATACAGAAAACACTGGCTTTGATCTGCTAGATTACACCTAGCAACTACATCATGAGGTTCAACAAGGCCAAGAGCAGGGTCCTGCACCTGAGTTGGGGCAACCCCTGGTATCCATACAGGCTGGGGGATGAAGGGATGGAGAGCAGCCCCGCCGAGAGGGACCTGGGGGGGCTGGGGGGGGAA